AGCGTTTTAGGAAGACGACGCAGGGTTGCAAGTATTCGCACTTGACACAAGTTCGCCTTGAATTCGTATATTTTACCATTTATTCTTAGAAATCAAAAAGTAAAAATTTTATTTGAAGGAATTCTGTTCACGGTATCAACTTATATTTTATATCAAAATTCATTAGCATTAAGGAAGAAGGGCTAAAACAAAAGCAGGAAATATAAAATACCCGCCATTACTCTATGACAATATTCACTATAGTGTTGGTAAGCATGTCCTTGCCTTCTGCACATATCTGGAGAAAAAGTGGACCATATTTCTAATACTAAACCTTCAATTCTTTAAAGTTTCACATACCTTTTCACTTATACCAGTTTTAAAATATGATCGCACATTTTCCATAGGCGATAGATCAGTGCTTTAAGATTGCCACTCCAACGTGTTAATATTTTCGTTCTCAATACACATATTTTAACATAATTCTGGTCTGTTGTAAAATTAAATTGTCACCAATTAATCGCTTACCTTAAAGAGTGATCACGTCTTTCAAAAAGTTCAAGCAAACTTGAGAATTGGTTTTGCCTTCAAGAACCGCCATTTTTTTACCAATATTGTTACCACACCACATATATAATACTGTTATCACAACAAAAAAATGCATTCAAAGTTTCCTTTATTTTAGGTAAAACCGGCAAAGTATTCGTATGAACTTATTTTTGGAATGTATAAATATGGGATCGATATTTATATTCACACAAAAAAAAAAAAGCTTACACCCTGTTAAATCACATTTCGTCTTTATTAACAATGTAGGAGAAAAAGGCAATTAAACAAAAAATACTATTTTTTTTATTTGGGCTACTATCTTTGCAATTATTCACAGCTACACCAACTTGGTGTGCTTGTTCACTTATTTTTAACAGCAACTGTATTTGTCTTTTTCATACACATAAAGAAATCATAACCACTAAGCATAAGCATAGACGAGCATTTCAGAACTTCAGCATCGTTTTGCGTGGGTGAAACTAAGGTCATATTCAACAATATATGTAAAAAAATACCTACATATTTTACATACATACGTATCAATACATACCTATGTATATATTTTACATACCTATGTATATTTTTTACATACATACGTAGCTATATCAATATTTATATAAGCTTTTCTACGTGCACAATAAATGTGCTCGTTGCGAATTTATTATTTTTACGATGAGAAAATAACAATGGCTGCTAGAGGAAGCAATTGATGAACAATGTATGCATAGGAAGAAAAATTATATTGCGTGATTTTTTACGCTGAAATGCGATATGTGAAACAACATGCTTGCCTATAAGTGGATTTTTTTTTTTTATAAATGTGCTGAAATGAACGCATTGAAGCACCTATGAAGTTACGTAGCGTTAATAAGCATTCGCACACATACATACATATTCACTCGTCGTAGCGCTTCTTGCGTAACCATAGCTACTTTGCTGTCTTAGCGTTTCGTACGTGAGGCATATTTGCAGGCGTTGAGAAAGCAACTCAAACCACATACACTACCGGAACAAAGTATTGGCACAGCAAATTTTTCACAATATATGCAACAATTTTTATTGTAACATTTTTCCGCCAATTTTGTATAAAAATATAGTTCATTCTACAACAAAAAAACATAAAAATATAATTCCGAAACTTTGTGCAAAACTCGCGAAGATTCATCAAATTTTCATGCAAATTTTCAACATTTTAATTAGATTTTTTAGAATTTTTTTGAGTATGCAGTTTTGCAGCCCATTAAATTCTAGTTAAAAACCAAGTTAGGAGTTAGTTAAGAATCGCATTGAATTTTGAGAACTTTTTTTGTTGAAGGTGTTTTGCATTTTTTCCATATAAAGTATTTTCGAAAAAATTTTGGTGTATGGAAGAGACTGCGTGAAAAAATTGCCAAAAATTAACGGTAATTCCTAGCTACTTAAAACTTGCACTTTATTATAATAGAATTGATTGGGCTACAAATCTGCATACTCACAAAAAATTCTAAAAAATCTGATTAAAAAGTTGAAAATATGCCTGAATATTTGCTGAATTTTCGCGAGTTTTGCACAAAGTTTAGGAATTATATTTTTATGTTTTTTGTTGAAGAATGAACCATATTCTCATACAAAATTTGCGGAAAAATATTAGAGTAAAAATTGTTGCATATATTGTGCCGTGCCAATACTTTGTTCCGGCAGTGTATGTATATGTAACTACGTACATATGCTTACCTAGCATTTTTGTAAGCACAAATTCTTAGCATCATTTTTAGTAGCAGTTAGTCAAGTGCTTCAGTTTTTCTTTCTTCCACCGCTTACACATAGTAGGTATGTATGTATGTATGTAGCAACGTGCTGCTCCGCTCCAGCTTTGCCTACAATCGCGACATATTATTATTTTTTCTTACACTTGACTTTTGATTGAATTTCGAAGTGGAAGCAGTAAATTGTGAAACTTGAATTTCAATTACTCTGTTGATTTTGATACATACACTTATGTACAGTCAGGTCGTAGCTACACCTTGCGAAAATTCCAATTCTATCAAACAAATTTGAAGTATTTTAAATCTATTCTTATATTATTCCAACACGAGTTCATACTTACATATATGCAATATATGAGCTAATACTATATACGAGTACTCTCAGGGTGTGAACACAACTACAAAATATTTAATGCAGACACGTGTGTATTAAGGGCATATGAAAGGTTTCGTGTGGTCACGTTCTTCCCAAAGCAAACAGATGCCGAAAATTAATAAGAAAAATCAAATTTCGCACGTATTAAGTTTTTTCTGTTGTGAATATTCAAGGCAACGCCATGCTATTTTATTGGGAAATTTTTTCTAGCCTCATATTACACAACCAGTTTATTGAAAATTGTTTATAAGGCAAATGCATTTTTTTCGTGGCAGAGATGTAGCCTGTAGCGCACACCTCCGTGTTCTCAATCGATGCGGCCATCAAGTCAAACCTTCTATTAACGCATTGTTAGTGATTAGCTTCTTCGAAAAGCTACATTCAAAACAGACAGCCAAATTTTTTGGTATTCGACTCTCACATCTGCTCTCAGAGAGCACTCTTCAACAAACCGACATATGTGAGCAGTGGAACCACACTTCCATTTCACTATGCAGCGTCCATGAAGAAGTAGTCGGATTTCAACGAGCCCGAAAGAACAATTGATACGATGCGGAATCTCACGAAGTTGCAGAGCAAAAGTATAACGCCTAGAGGCCCACGGTGCAATCGGGCGCCATGCGCGTTATTTGGGGTCAATATAGGAAAGCGAGAAATTTGTGGCTATTAAGATTCTACTCGAAATTAGGTGTAGGGCACCTAAGCTAACTGCATATAACCGGTGAAACTGCAAAACGGCCTTTGTCAATTAGTACTCTTTTGTCACTCAGATGCACTGTTAACTGTTCCGGAATGCATCTGCAAATCGTAACAGTCTCACAAACTAATAACAAAACTATTTGCCTTTGGCTGGTGAAGATGATTGACATAGAAGGTTTTGGCATATCACCAACGATATGCTGATATCCTAGCCCTCGAATTCGATTTCACATTTACTTTTACATACGGCTCCGATATGATTGATCGAGATGGAGTGGAAGCTGTGGTATTCTCGCAGGAGCTCAATCTAAAACAGCCGTACAAACTTCCCAGCTATTTCAGTATTTTTAAGGCTGAAACCTACACCGCAACCAAAGCGGCGGAATCAGCAGCTGAATTAACCCCTTATAACTCTCCTATGGCTAGTACAGATTGAAAAGTGTACATGAAGTGATGAGTAAAACGTCAAACGCACACAACGCTAAGGGCTTTTGGAAGACCGCGATTTAGCTACCTTGGCTCTGCGTACTTCTTCTCACTGAAGTATATTGCCGACCAAAGAATAAGCAATTTTTAACCACTCGCCTGACTATCACAAGTTTGGCGGCGAGGAGTTGTAAAGGGATAATTCATAAATTTTTTTGCAGAATATGATCGAAATGTGTAACGTTCCCCAACAATGAATAAAAGTAGCACAAGAAAAACGTGAAATATTACAAGATGGCTCATAAAAATGATTATTTTTTTTCATTTAAAGAAAAAATTTTCAAATGCATTTTTGTAGCCTATTAACTTCTAGTACAAGAAGGCAAGTTTAAGAGGTTAAGAAATTACTTGGATTATTAATAATTTCTCTTCTTTTTCTGTTGAAATGTTGAGCACATTTTACGAATGGGGAAGTAAAATGCCCAGCGCCTTCAGCAAAAAAAAAGTATTAAATAAAAACTAACTTGAATTCTTACAAAAAATAAATACAAATAAAATATCAGCCAAGAATTTTAGGCTATAGACCTCTTAGAATAGTTTGTTACACGTGTGCGCCACTGCGATGAACCTTGTTTCATTTAATGTTTCTAATTGCCAGGCGATCACCGTGGTTAAACGGTTAGAGATGCCAATCGGTACGTCCAGGGTTCGATCCCTGGTGCGAGCAACATCAAAAACAAATTTTTTTTCCAATAGTGGTGACCCTCGGGAGGTAATGGCAAATCACCGAGTGTATTTCTGTCACAGAAAGGGCTTCTCTTTAAAACTGTGGGTCCTAAGGCGCACAACACAAGTCAGAGGGGAAGCCAAGCCAATGTGTAAGCTCAAATAATTATTATTTATTAATTTATTTAATTTACACAAATTAGCAAGAAGAATGGACGCATG